TATGTATATATTATATTATTTTGTATATATATATTGTAATATTTATGTACATTATTTTTATATATATATTATATTATTTTGTATATATATATTATATTATTTTGTATATATATATTGTAATATTTATGTACATTATTTTTATATATATATTATATTATTTTGCATATATATTGTATAATTTATGTACATTATTTTTATATATACATTATATTATTTTGTATATATATTATTATATATTCATGCACATTCTTTTTACTTCTCCTTTTTCGTAATTTCATAAGTAACAGGTAAACCGCCGTAAACGTTCGACAAACAAATAACTCAAAGAGAAGTTTCCTGGTCGACCATAAAATCGTACCGCGCATTTCTGGATATTCAAATGCGCCGGAAAAATAACTATAGGAATTTCTCTCGGGGCGACCGTAAAATCCGCTCTCATCGATCAGTCGGCTCGGCTCGGCGTCGCGTCGCGTCGCGAATTAAATTACACGGTGACGAGCGAGAAAGGGAGGGAAAAAAACATCCGCATACATACCGCAACGCGACGCGACGCTCGAATGCCCATTTTTAGTTTTCTATTAGGCGCTGGTCTCGCGCGTCGCGCATCCGCCCGTCGAAATCGAGCAACGCGCGCGAGATCCCGCTTTTTTCCCTTTATTTTCGTAAGCCGCGTCTGCCCGCTCCCGGCCCGCTCCCGGCCCGCTTCGGGTCACGCGCGCGGATTTCCCCCTTGTCCCGAGCGAAACGATCCGCGAGAGGCATCGAGAGAGATCGCGCCGATAAATATCGTAATTACGGCGCATTAGCCGCTCGTATTATCCCCTCCGCGTGGTCCATTACGATCCACGGGATCGATCCACGGGATCGAGTCAACCCGGCTCGATCCCCCCGGCAACACGACGGCAATATTATCGCCGCTGGGAACGCGTTGCCCGCCGAAAACCTGGAAATAGTTGGCCGTGCCGTGGCTGTGCAGCTAACTCGCTTTCGTTTAACGACGCCCCGGATTGCTCTTAATCATCGCGCGAACCACGGTCTCCCGCCGGTACCTTGTCTCTAATTAAGCAGATCAATATGCGTCCGATACGAGCACACCTCGTTCCCCCGATTTCGCCGTCGGTCCGCTTCCTTTTTCCTTTTTCTTGCGCCGTTCCGCGACGTTTATTCCCATTTTACGCCGCGCGGCGGTTGCTTAATTGGCCGTCGCGGACACGATACGTGCAACCTCTCGGTCCGCCGATTTCATTCGACCGAAAGTAAAATCGACGGATCGGCGACAGATTGTGTTCGCGTACGATCGCGTTTTCCCGGAGAACGGTCAGCCGTCCAAAAAAAAAGAAGAGAAGGAAAAAAGAAACGAAAGGGAATTTAGAAAGCTCATTGTCCCGAATAACTACGCGCAGAGCCGCGGATGCTGCTAGCTAGTGGAATGCATCCGGCCTGTTCCTCGGCCGAATACGTTCTTATCGCGGTGAAACCAGCCATCGAACGGCTATCGATCGCCTGTAATTTCTCCGTGGATTTCTTTCGATTCGAACATCATCGTGGAAGCGGTATCGCAGCGCTCGTGCGCGCTCGCGCACGGATGATAGCCGCTCTCGTATTAAAACGGAGACTTTCACCGAATCGTATAAAATGCTTCGGGACAATGGAGGCATTGTATGCGAACGTATTCTATATATTTAACATAATTGCTATCGATCCCGAGAACCGTTATAAACGTCTTTCTTTCTCTGTTCGTTGGCGGCACATCATCGGTAGATCGCGGATCTTTATGGCGCCCGCGAATTGCTGAAGAATCTAGGCTTTCGACTCTCAATCGAGATGCTCCGTGTGTGTCTGTATTCTTCGTGGATGTCGAAATCTGTTCGATCGTTTCGATCGTGAAGCAAGTTTATTCGAAGAGGATTTTATGATCTTTAACGATTCTAAGATACTTCGCAAGAATTTTATGTCGTGTCGATACAACTGAATGTTTTAATCATCGTGGTTTATTGACGCGGGAAGAAAGTCTATCTGATGTGGATCCGATTGGACGTTGGCTGTTGGAAATCGGTGTGTGCGATGTTATTGGTGGACTGCGGATTTTATGGATTTATGAGGGAAATTGATAGATCGAATGCAAAACAGTAGAAACGTTTAAGGAATTCGAAGATACTATTGCACTATTTTCAATTGAATAAAATAATTAGGGAAAGAAAGAAATGTCTGTGTAGCTTCTGCATCTTGTAAATAATGCAGACAATTTTTATATATATTCCGCTTAAATATTTGCAGTTATCAGTAGACTGAGGATTTTATGCATTTATGAAAGAGATGAGTATATCTAATGCGTGAAGCAGTAAACGCTTTTAAGGAATTAGAAAATACTCTTGCAATATTTTCAACTGAATAAAATAATAAAATAAAGGAAAAAATGTCTGTAATCTGTATCTTGTAAATAATGCAAATAATTTTTATTTCACGTAAAAGTCTGCAGTTATCAGTAGACTGAGGATTTTATGCGTTTATGACAAAAAAGAGTAGATCAAATGCAAAACAATAAAAACGTTTAAGTAATTCGAAAACACTATTGCACTATTTTGAACTGAATAAAATAATTAAACAAAGAAAGAAATGTCTGTGTAAATTCTGTATCTTATAAATAATGCAGACAATTTTTATTTCGCTTAAAAATTGGCAATTATCAGTAGACTGCAGATATTATGCATTTATCACAGAGATCTACAGAGATACGTCTAACGTGTGAAGCAGTAAAAAGACGAAAAACATTTAATTACATCGATATACTATTTTTGGACCTACTAAAATTATTAAGAAAAGAATTTAACCATTAAGTTACTTCCATTGTTGCAACAACGATGCCCGAAAATTTGCATTTCGCACAAAGATCCGCGCTTTAGTTATTAATAGACTGCGAATTGTATGCATTTACGATAGAAACGTATACGCGCGTCTAAAGTAAAACAGTAAAAAGACGAAAAACATTTAATAACATTTATATATACTATTTTTGGACCTGCTAAAATGATTAAGGAAAGAATTTAACCATTAAATTACTTCCATTGTTGCAACAACGACAACTGAAAATTTGCATTTGGTACGAAGATCCTCACTCTAGTCATCAACAAACTGCGGCCTTTACGCATTTAAGGTAAAACAGTAGAAAGATGAGAACCATTTAATAACGCCGCCACACTACTTTCGCCTATCTAAAATGCTCGTGGAAAGAATTCGGCTTCCGAGTTACTTTCATTTTCTGCCCCAGTGGCCGGCCATTTTTATTCTGCCTGTAGAACCGCGGTCTAGTTATCAGCGATCTTCCGTTCGCCAGGCATCGAACTACAAATGGAAAAACGTTCGATTCGCGAATCCCCGGACGAACGAATTCGCGAATCCGCGCGCGACTGACTGTCCGAGACGCCGACGAGAAATCGGCATCCAAAAGAGACGCTCGAGACGTTATCGTCGCGACGTCACGACGAATCGCGACGGTAATCTGTGCCGCGGATAAACGAGTCGACGATCGAACGAAGATGCAATTGAACGTACTCACCGAAACATGATCGACGGAGCCGGCTGCGACGGTGCCGACGATCAGAAGGAGAGCGACGGCGACGGCGGCGGCGGCGGCGAGGGCCGCGTTCGTTGGCGGCTGGCGGGCGATCATGCCCGGTGAATCGAGGCCTGCCAGTGGGGGCAGCCAGCGCAGACAGTTCGACGACGTCGAGGACGTGCTCGACGACGAAGCGGGCCGGTGCTCCTGTCGCGGATGCATCGCTTCATGATCGCGACGTGCCGCGTGCTCGTCCCTCCGTTTAGCCCCGTCGACGCACCGCGACTCCGTTTTCTCGTTTCCTCTGACGTCGGCTGTGTCTCTTCCTCTCTCTCGCTCACTCTCCTCTCCTCTCCTCTCCTCTCCTCTCCTCTCTCACTCCGCTGCTCGGCAGCCGCCGACAGCCCCGGGTCTCGAGGAGGCGTGCGCGAGTGAAAACCTACGTGCGTGAACTCGCGAGCGCGTGCACACACCGCGCGCGTCTCTATAAATACGGCCGCGACTCCACGCGAAGAATTTCAAACAACCGCGCCGTAAAACACCATGAGTGGAAGAACTCGGCCTCGAGGAGGGGGCGGCGGAACTCTTGCTTCTTCCCCCCGGTGACGATGCTCGCGGCTCATCATCCGCGAACAGCGGAGCCGGCGGCCGCCAGAAGCCTTTCCTGGTTTCGTCCTCCTCCTCCTCCTCCTCCTCTCGTTTCTCTTGTTTCTCTCGTTTCTCTCGTTCCTCCTCCTCCTCCTCCTCCTCCTCCTCCCGCTGGGAGAGCGCCGCTGAAACCATCGATCAGGATCACAGCCGTGTTATTAACGCTTTTTCCGGATGCCTGCGGTCGGAGCTGCCCGGCTAATTCCGCGGCCTCGGTAATCAACCGGTGGCCCCGCGAAACCAATCTCTCGGGCCCTAACGACGATCCACGCACCCGCAACACGCTTTCCCGGGTTCGCTCCGAGAGATTCGAAATTGCCGAGAGATTAGAAAGCTTCCGCGGACTTTTGCCTCGTCGCGGAATCATTGCTTCGTCGCCGAGCTTTCTGGACGTTACGATCGCGGTCTTAGGAGGAGCTGCTTGAAATTTCAAGTGTTCGTTGGAAGGAGCAGCTTGAAATTCAAACAGTTCGTTGGGAGGAGCAGCTCTAAATTCAAACTGTTCGTTGGGAGGAGCTATACATTCGATCGCTGAAAGCGTTGCTTTAATTTTTAAGAGATATATGCTTGTAACTGTCGCTCTTTTTATTTGAGAGCGAGCGGAAAAATGACTGCAAACTGAAGATATTTTGGTGTTTGCTATTATGGTCGTGCGTGGATGCAGAGGCGGATTTAGGTATAGGTTAAATAGGATGTAGCGTGGGGCGATAGTTTTTAGGTGACGGCATTTTTAGATGGTGATGGTACGAAAAAGTCGTAATTATTTTTACGACAGATTACAGTAAATTCTTCCTAATCGATGTCTCAGCTTGGTAGCAAAAATGGACACTTTGGGAAGAGGAGGTAGGATTATGTATATTATATTAAATTATTACGATTAAATTAGTACGATTATTATAATAAATGAACCTTGCATCTCGTTTTTATAATCGTTGACAATCGGCAACTATAAAAATGAGCCGATTAATTGTACTTCCTCTTCCAAGATTGTCCAATCTTATTCCTAAGATAAAGCGTCAATTAAGGAGAATTTACTGCATTACTTTTTATAGTTACCGATCGCTAATAACTATAAAAACGTGCCGCAAGCCTCGAATAAAGATTAATTAAATATATATTTTTAATTAATCTTAATATAAATATAAAGCTTGATAATTATATTTCTGTCTCTTATACACATCTAGATGTGTATAAGAGACAGGCTTTATATTAAATATAAAGCTTGATAATTATATTTCTGTCTCTTATACACATCTAGATGTGTATAAGAGACAGGCTTTATATTAAATATAAAGCTTGATAATTATATTTCTGTCTCTTATACACATCTAGATGTGTATAAGAGACAGGCTTTATATTAAATATAAAGCTTGATAATTATATTTCTGTCTCTTATACACATCTAGATGTGTATAAGAGACAGGCTTTATATTAAATATAAAGCTTGATAATTATATTTCTGTCTCTTATACACATCTAGATGTGTATAAGAGACAGGCTTTATATTAAATATAAAGCTTGATAATTATATTTCTGTCTCTTATACACATCTAGATGTGTATAAGAGACAGGCTTTATATTAAATATAAAGCTTGATAATTATATTTCTGTCTCTTATACACATCTAGATGTGTATAAGAGACAGGCTTTATATTAAATATAAAGCTTGATAATTATATTTCTGTCTCTTATACACATCTAGATGTGTATAAGAGACAGGCTTTATATTAAATATAAAGCTTGATAATTATATTTCTGTCTCTTATACACATCTAGATGTGTATAAGAGACAGGCTTTATATTAAATATAAAGCTTGATAATTATATTTCTGTCTCTTATACACATCTAGATGTGTATAAGAGACAGGCTTTATATTAAATATAAAGCTTGATAATTATATTTCTGTCTCTTATACACATCTAGATGTGTATAAGAGACAGGCTTTATATTAAATATAAAGCTTGATAATTATATTTCTGTCTCTTATACACATCTAGATGTGTATAAGAGACAGGCTTTATATTAAATATAAAGCTTGATAATTATATTTCTGTCTCTTATACACATCTAGATGTGTATAAGAGACAGGCTTTATATTAAATATAAAGCTTGATAATTATATTTCTGTCTCTTATACACATCTAGATGTGTATAAGAGACAGGCTTTATATTAAATATAAAGCTTGATAATTATATTTCTGTCTCTTATACACATCTAGATGTGTATAAGAGACAGGCTTTATATTAAATATAAAGCTTGATAATTATATTTCTGTCTCTTATACACATCTAGATGTGTATAAGAGACAGGCTTTATATTAAATATAAAGCTTGATAATTATATTTCTGTCTCTTATACACATCTAGATGTGTATAAGAGACAGGCTTTATATTAAATATAAAGCTTGATAATTATATTTCTGTCTCTTATACACATCTAGATGTGTATAAGAGACAGGTCTTATATTAAATATAATTATCAAGCTTTATATTTAATATAAAGTCTAATATTAAATACAATTATTAAGCTTTGTATTTAATATGATGCCTTATATTAAATATAATTTTTAAGCTTGATAATTATATTTAATATAAGACTTTATATTAAATATAAATATAATATTCAATATAAAATATAAATATAATATAAGACTTTATATTAAATATAATTATCAAGCTTCATATATAACATAAAGCCTTACATTAAATACAATTATCAAGCTTTATATTTAATATAAAGCCTCCTCTTCTTAAATTGTCCATTTTCGCTTCCGTTCGCAGGAATCCGCGTTGCCTAACCGATCAATGAAACAGCCCCGCGGACTTCTCATCATCGAACAGCATCAACGAACAGTCGCGAACCACTCGAAACGAAAATACGCTCGCTTCTACCGCGACTCCTCCGGGGCCCCGAGTAATTACGAGAATTCACTTAGCCAATCTGCGGCGTCGATCTCGATTAAATTAACGTTGCACCCGTCCGACCTAACGAACTACCGCGGCGATTCCGTGAACGGCCGTGAAACAGGCGTAAACGCGATCGATAAGGCTGTCGGATCGACGGGAATCGGCCGGAAGCGGCCGGGTGTGTAGGATCGCGGCGAGGAGGATCGAGCAACGATCGCGTTGCGAAGGCTCGGGCGCCTAGGTGCGCACAGGTGGCGAGCCGGCAGCCCGTGTTCAGCCTGGCTGAAAGACACCAGGATATTACGAGCGTCCACGCAAAGCAGCCGTGGTATACGTTACGTTCCGAATCTTTATGTAACGACGCGAAAGTGGATACGATTCACGGCTATCGCGTCTCTCTCCAGTTTCACGAGCGGACGAAACTCCGGCGGCGGCGGCGACGGCTAGAGAGACCGAACTTATAGCGAACTCGACTCGAGACTCACCCCTGGATCGGCGAGACGACGCTTAAATCCCCTAGAATCCTCCGTGGACGACCCGAAGAGGATTCCCGAGAAGATCGAGTGATCGTGGAATAAGCCCGTCGGGTTTCCGTGCGGCGTCTAGACGAGACCGGGAACTCGGCACTCGTGGTGAATCACGCTGTTTCCTCATCGGCTGTCCGACGTCTGCTGGGTCCGGCGACACTGGGACTCGGCATGGAGCGGCCCGGTTCTCCAGCCGGCGGCGGGATCGTTCAAGTGCAAGCGCGAGGGAACGGCGTGCCAGCGGCCGATATTTTTAGTCCTATGCCCGCTTCCACCATCTGTCTTCGCGTTTCGGTTTCCTGGTCGTTTTAGACGCGCGACGTCCTACCGCGGCCGAGACGGCGCGGTTCGCACGGAGCCGGCGACGACGACCACGAAGACGCCGCGGACGGATCGGTACATATTGCCGTAGACACTTCACGCGTTCGAGCCGCACTCCATTATTCTTCGTCGTCGGTCACTTAAACGCTCCGCGGACCCCACCCCTGCCCCCCTGCGGCACGGCGAATCGCTCGGATTCCGGGAAATTCGCACTCGCGGACCCCTCGTTCCTGACCGGTCGAATTATCCGCCCCGTCGCTCGTTCCTCGTCGCGACAGCGACGCGGACGTTTTCTGGGAACCGTCGCTGCGACGCCGTCGAGGCTCTCGACTCGAGAGAGATCGGAACGATCGCCGACCAGGAAGCGAGCCGATCGCTGCCGATTACCAGTCGAGCGGAGCTTCTCGAGCACACGCACGTGGCTCCGGGCCGACTGACGAGATACACGCGCGAGGAAGTATCAACGGAGGCTGAGAGGAGTGGCTACCAAGCGAAGCGGAAGTGGAGGGTGGCTCCGAGGTGGTGGGGTGCTGTCTGATAGGGGGTACTGCCGTCGGAGCCCTCGGGGACGAGCTGCAGACGCCCGGGGACGACGAAGATGGACCGTCGCGGCCTCGATCGCGCTCCTCCCGATAAGGCGAGGCCAATCTCTTCTGCCTAGCTTCGATCCACAGAGTCGGGATCATTTTTCTTTTTTTTCGGCAAGCTTTTTAATTTTTCTTTTTTATTTATTATTTTCATTTGTTTGTTTAACGTCGCGTCTGCTTAATGGCAATTAGCGACCACCATTGGTAGGTTACATTGGGTAACGTTGGTAGGTTACTTGTAGTGTATTATGCAATAGTTTTGCATTATATTTTACATGATTTTCTTAATCTGAGCTTCTTATGTTGCTGGATAAATTCGCTGAACAATTTCGGTGTCTGCGTCTTTATGACGTAACTTTTGCTGGTTGTTTGTTGTTGGCCAAATATTCTTTGATGGTTTGGGGCGTTTTTACTTTCTTTCTGATATCGTTGTACGCTGGTCGTTCAATCAGGATCTGCTCAACTGTAAGCTCAGTGTTACAGGTGTTACAATTCGATAATGTTTCAATGGTAAACGCGAATACATTAGATTGGCGTGTACGAAATGTCGGATTTTGAAACGTATTGTCGGAATTGGAATTTGCTGACTGCGGATTTTTATGCAAAATAAAAATTTGCCGCACTAATATGTATTCATAATTTATATATATTTATAATTTATATATATTAGTGCGGGAGAAATTTATATATATAGTAAATTTATTTTTTAATCATCTTTTTTATAATATAATAT